AGTTTGATAGATATTACGAAGATGATTTGAGGTCTCGCCAGGATAACGTGTATGCAGCTTCCATGTAAAGTTAGCGTCAACCCTCACGGGGTGAAAACAGTTTTTCCGGTCTCGAAATTTTCATAATAAAACCGGATATATTCCCCTCACTGTCAAATGATTACACAGTGATATCTGCATTACTCATCCACTAAAAAAACATCAGTTTATCCTTGTTAATTACACAATATTCCATCCATCCATCTTCTCCCGCTTATCCGTGGTCGGGTCGCGGGGGTAGCAGTTCCAGCAGAGGGCCCCAAACTTTCTTTTCCCTGGCCACATCAACCAGCTCTGACTGGGGGATCCCAAGGCGCTCCCAGGCCAGCGAAGAGATGTAATCCCTCCACCTGGTCCTAGGTCTACCCCTTGGTCTCTTCCCAGCTGGACGTGCCTGGAAGACATCCCTAGGGAGGCACCCAGGTGGCATCCTAACTAGGTGCCCGAACTGGCTCCTTTCGACGCGAAGGAGGAGCGGTTCAACTCCGAGTCCCTCCTGGATGATGCTCCCGAACTTCTCACCTTATCACTAAGGGAGACACCAGCCACCCTGCGGAGAAAACTCATCTCGGCCGCTTGTATCCGCGATCTCGTTCTTTCGGTCATGACCCATCCTTCATGACCATAGGTGAGGGTAGGAACGAAAATAAGAACGAGATCGCGGATACAAGCGGCCGAGATGAGTTTTCTCCGCAGGGNCATGGTGACGAGCCACGCCATTGCCCTCGCCGCCGCTGCCCGTGAGGTGAAAGGGCTGCGAGGAAGCCTCCACACGCTGCGGGCGTTGGTGCCGCTGTGGGCGCTCAGTAGGCTGGAGCCAGCTGACATGCTGGCGAATGCCGTCCGCCTGTTCTGCGGCCGTCTTCATGGACTCCACCATGGCGTGGATGTGGGGTCCGAACAGCCCATCCGGGTTGATTGGAGCGTCCAGTAGCACTTTTCTGGCCGTCTCCGTAACAGACGCCTGCTGCCGCCAGAGGTGGCGCTGGATCTGTGTCACCCACGCGGATATCCTCGCCTGGGAGACAGCGACGGACGCGCACAGAGTTCATCTGCTGGCCACCTTGCTGGTTTCCTCTGCCTCGTAAGCGGCCAAGGTGTTGGACCGCTCTACCAGCGTCACCACCGAGTTGGAGAGCAGCGTCGATGTTATTCGCCGCCGGCTGAAAGGCACACTGGTGCACCCGGTCGGCCTGGCGGGCCACATACTGGTCTCTGGGGGAGCTCAACGTAGGGCGCCGTCCGGCGATTATATTGGCCCGTCTTACCCCAAAAAACGCCGTCAGGCTCCAGAGAAGGGGTGGCTGGGAAACCAGCATCTGTGAACCCCTCAACCTTGGTGAGGGGAACAAATGTGGCCACCGGAGCCTTCAGGGTCCTCGGGTTCGCCGGCGCCCCCTCCTGGAACCTCCTGATGGTCGGGAAGCGTGGCCAGATCGGGTCACTCCTGACAGTCTGCCCGCGAAAAAACTCTGGTCGTGTCGTCCGGAGCACACCTCTCCTGAGTTAGGGGAACGAGGAGATCTCTGCCGGCGGCCGCCTTGCGTATCAGCTCCGGCAGTTGCCCTAGGATGCCAACTATCGCCGGTAGCGCTGTGGTGATGAAGAGGGGGAAAGCATGTTCAGCCGCCAAGCTGGCACCCTGCTCTGAGGGAGGGTAGAACCGAACGGTGAACCGTGGAGGGAGGCGGGGCAGGAGTTGTCGGAGTTGCTGTTGGAAAGTCTGCCGTGGTTCCATTCCATTTCATAGAGCTGTTTGACGCTCAGTGTAATCTTGTCACACTGCCACTCCAACAACCAATCACAGGGCTTGATGACTAATCACAGGGTTTGTAAAGCAAGGCGGATGTTGTAGTCCCAAACGATAGCTGGGGATTCTGGGTAGTGTAGTGTCTTAACTCCGAAAAAAATATTTGTTTTTCTGAATCGAAGGTTAAAATCACAAAAGCATTGTACACAATTTAAACCAATCAAT